AGGGCCATGAAGAACCTGCGAACACAGGCCTTCTGAGTTCCCTGCTCAGTCTGTTTCCATTAGCTCACACACTTTCTGTCAAATCTGATTTCTGACACAGTTACTCCTGCTTTCTCAGACATAGGCATAAAATCAGATAGTTTCCTCTGAATCTTTTGGGACTTAATCTAAAAGTTCCTGTGTCACATAAAACTATAATTAAATTTGTTAGTGGCTTCTCCTGTGAATCTTGTCTATTGCCAGTTTCTTTTAGGAGACTCAAATATCAAATCATTTTATTTTATTTTATTTTTGAGACAGGGTCTCATTATGTAGTGCAGGCTGGCCTTGGACTCACTGTGTGGCCCAGCCTGGCCTTGAACTTGGGGCTATCCTCCTGCTGGAGCCTCCCCAGTGCTGGGATTATAAGCATGCACCACCATGCCCAACTATGAGCTTTAAACAATATATGTTATGATTTTTTAAAGATCACTGGATAGTAAACATATGGGACTTACAGATGTTTAGAATCAAAAACCATATGAGTCAAAAGAATAAGTTCAAAGAATGAAATTTGAAATAAATTACGACTCCCTAAAAAGTAAAAAAATGCCCACAGAATGTTTCAAATGTATTTGAATTTGCTACCATAGATACAATAATCCACTTTAACAAAAGCCAGTGAACAATGCAGAGAGAAAGAGAACAGAGACTGAGAAATAAAAGGAATCCAGACATTACTGGCAACATTGAGTGTGGTAGTATATACCTGTATTTTCACACTTGGGATGCTGAAGCAAAAGGATGAAGACTCTGAGGCCAGGCTGGGATACATAATGAGATACCATCTCAAAAAGCAAAACAACAACACATCCCAGAATTTGCTGTCACTGGCAAAGATAATCACTCTCACCCAACAAGTGCATTTCTGATGCATGTTTTCAATTATGTGATACTGACTATGCAAAAGGCTGTCTAATAGTAACATACCTGGCCAGGTGTGGTGGCACACACCTGTAATTCCAGCACTAAGGAAGTAGAGGCAGGAAGAGGATTGTGGAGAGTTTGAGGCCAGCCTGGTCTACAAAGTGAGTTCAAGGCTAGCCTGAACTACACAGCAAGAGCCTATCTTTAAAAAAATAAAAAATAAAAAAAATTTAAAAAAAAATATATAGTTGCACACTTGGGACATTTGACATGTTCTAAGGCATTGCCTTTTTCTTACTGTATCAGTATCTCTAGACAAGGGCAGGCCACTCACGTGTATTTACATCTAAATTCCTTGCACATGTTCTTACTTTACTCAAAACATGCTGGCATTACTAGCAACCTTTTCCCCCAATCCACGTAGACCTCTCTACCAACCCAGAAGTTAACATGCTTATCTCAGTTTTTTTTTGTTTTGTTTTGTTGTTTTGTTTTTTGGGTTTTTTGGGGGGCAGAAACAGGGATTGAACTCAGGCCCTTGCGCTTGCCAGGGAAGCGCTTATTCCACTGAGCCATCTCCCTGGCCCCCTTATCTCAGTTTTTTTCTACTCTTTCCAAATTCTCTCTCTCTCTCTCTCTCTCTCTCTCTCTCTCTCTCTCTCTCTCTCTCTCTCTCTCTCTCTCTCTCTCTCTCTCTCTCTCTCTCTCTCTCTCTCTCTCTCCTCTTTCTTTGTTCCTTTTTGTTAGGTAGTTGGGGTTCTAGTCCTATGTGCATCACTAGTATCAGTATGATCTTGGACAAAATACTTCTTAGAGTAAGGCATAAATGATGTGTGTGAAAGCACTTTATAAATTTCACTTAAAATTTGGCTAATGAACTAGATTAATGATTATTGAACTAGATCGTTAAATTTCTCTCAAGTTCTAAAATTTTTATTTAATTTATTTTCAGTGAATTCATCTGATCTAGGAGCCAGCAATTGTGTTTTGGTTCTTTTAAGACTCCTTCTATTATACAAAAGCTGCTGCTGACTGAATAAGTACAGAATGGTTTATGATTTTAAAATAGCAGCACCTAAAACAGATAATTCTTTGTTAGGCTCAGTGTTTCTGCAAATGATACATAGATTTTTAAGGCTGTGTCATAGCCAAATCTAAAAATATCATTTCCTACATTAAAAAAAAAAAGCACACAATAAATTTTGCCCTTTTAAAATGTAATGTTTAAAGTTTCAACTGGATCCAAGTGAAATTAAATTTGTAGAGGCTGTGGGCATTCATATAGCAGGTTTGTAGCCCTGGAGTAGTGACGTGACTAAAGCTGGCAAGAAACAAGTGAGGGGCTGGGGAGATGGCTCAGTAGAATAAGTGCTTGCCTGGCAAGCACATAGGGCCTGAGTTCAATCCCTGGTTCCGAAAAAAAAAGAAAAAGATAAAAGAAACAAATGAGGACACACATCTCACTGTTAGAAGCATACTTAAAGTCAGGAGATCCCAGAAGTAGGATCATGTGGGCTTAGAACAGTTCCAAAAAAACAAAACACTGAAAAAGGAGGTCAAAGTGTTGACTTTTTACTTTGCCAAATAAAGTTGCTTTTAAAACAAAATCATCTACCTTTAGCATCACTTTATTTTTTTTTTTAGTTATTCATTTATTTATTTATGGGGGGGCAGCTCAGCCCACCAGGGGGCGGGGCTGGCTGGCATGTGGTGCTGGGGGATCGAACCGTGCTAAGCTTGTTCTAAGTAGGTGCTTTAGACCACTGAGCCATCTCACCAGCCCTCAGCATCACTTTATAAGAAGGCATTTTAATGATACCTATGGAAGAATATAAAATGTTAGAATAAAGACAATGTGAAGTTAGATAAACTAAAAATGGGTACTGCTCTCATTTTTAAAGTATCTTAATAGAAAACTTTGTTACGTTTGCATTTATTCATTTCCATCGCCTCCCCCACCTCCCCACCAGGGCAACTGAGAATTTGGATCCCTACAACCAAAAATCCTTTTAAATGTCTGCACCATTCCCTATGGAGAATTTCTCAAGGTGAGGAAGCCAGCAGAATACTAGGCCCTGGAAGACTCAAGACACTTCAACGTGGCTTATTTTTTCTTTTTACAGACATACACGCGCGTGCATGCGCACACACACACACACACACACACACACCCCATTGGAAATGGCTCCCAGGGCCTTCACACTGAGCTAAATCTCTGGCCCATCCCTTATTTTTATTTTGAGACAGGGTCTTGCTAAATCGCTACACATATTGCCCAAATGTGCTTGAATTTAGAATTGTCCTTACTCCAAATGTCCAGAGTGCTGGGATTGCAAGAATCTGCTGCCACGCCATTACTTTTTTTTTTTTTTTTAAAGAATCTAAGGGGCGGGGGAGATAGCTCAGTGGAACAGTGGAATAAGTGCTTCCTTGGCAAGCACAAGGAACTGAGTTCAGTCCCCGGTTCCATCAAAACAGCAGAGGACTTTAAATTGTCCAACACATGATTTAGAGTCACACACACACACACACACACACACACACAATCTGATAGTGCTGATTTGACAAGTCAGGCACTCTAGAGTTTGGTTGTTACCCCAAACTCCATGCTAAACTTAGAGGGAGTCTCTTGCCCCTATTTGGTCAATGTATCTTCCCAGATAAACTCCATAATTATTTCAGCTTTAAAGTTGCACTTAAAACTTTTTATCCCATTTCCATTTTAACCGATTGTGTATTTAGATTGGTTGCCTGTTTAAATTTTTATAACCGAGGCTGGATTCATGGTACAGATGAGAACATCAGGCATAAGCTTTCTTTTGTGATTTACCAAGCTTGATTTTCTTGGGTCAAATTTTGTGGAGGTCATAAGCCTGTACTCCCAGCACTCTGGAGGCTGACACACGTGAGGCCACCCTAGTTTACGTAGTGAGAATGAGTTCAAAGCCAGCCTGGACTACATAGTGAGATCTCGGATAAAAAACAACCTTTGATCAATTTCCAGTATATAAAAAGGGGGATAGTATCGCGTAGTTTAAACATCGTCAATTTTATTTTGTAATAGTCATTTCTAACCTGTTAGGGTATTATAGTTTACAGTATGACCAAGATACGATTCTTTGGGCTTTTGGGGCGGGCTATAACAACTTTATTATGTGCGAATTTATGTTTCTGGTTTTTTACTGATATCAAGTTCTGCTGCTTTTATCACTAAAATTTCTTTTTTAGAAAACTTTATGAAGCAAGTGGCTGTTACTATTCTTCTTCGCAGATGAGGCCAAGACATGGGGTGTAAACAATCCCTGCCTTCCCCGCTCTCACCTCCCATCTAACAGGAGGGTTTCGGGCACTCGGCACAGACCAGAGCTGTAACCACGGGTTATCAGCGAAGATCTGCTAAAACCCGGGGCCCTTCCCCGCAACCCAGCTCGCCCAGGGCTGCTTTTCTCTTGCTCTCCACTGGAGGCGACAGCCTCCTACAGACGGAACCGACTGAAGCAGGCCCGCCCGGGGGAGTGGCCCGAAAAAGGTTAAAATCGCTTCAAACAAAGACTAAAGGTCAGTTCTGTACTCCCAGGCAGGCGGAAGCTTCGGTCTACCGCAAAAACACGAAGGTGACCCCTCCCTCACGTAACCTCGGCGCTCCCTCCCAGCCACGCCGCCCTCACACACACCCGGGCGGCACCCGAGTAACTAACAGGTAGCAGGAGCGCGACTGCCGAAGACCGGAAGTGGAAGCGAGCCCGGGGCGGGGGCGGGGGCCGGCCACGCCGCGGCTGCGCAGTCGG